TGCGCCGAGCAGCAGTTCGCTCTGTGGCTGTGGCGGCTGCTGCTCCGGAAGCTTCCGATGCCGTTCGACAAAATGAACGGCCCGCAGGCCTGGGATCGGGAGCCGGTCTGGGAGATGCGCGAGTACGACTTTTTAACAATCCCCGAAAAAAAAACATGGGGCTCCCCGGACATGCTATAATACAAGCCAATGGTTTCCGTGGTTTCTTTTGGCAGGGCATAGTACCGGCAGAGGACATTACCCGTGCCACATCTTTCCTACTGTGTTGAATTGTAACCACAGAGGTGAACAAATGGTTGCAGAGTGTTTATGTCTCATGAATTAAGTATCAATATGTACTACTATCCTCTATCACTGACAATGAGTCATTATCAACTGTCATCGGTTGGTGGTTTCAACCATCCAGAAAAGCATCCACGTAGTTTCAACTAGTCATCCCAGATCTGGTTGATAAACAAGCCAAATGTGGCGGTTCAACCACAACAATGAGCCATCCTCAGCAGGCGAGGCGGTGAATAGCTTGGTACTGACCTGAGCGAGGTTGACATGCTAGTGAAGTCTGCAGCAGCTTGGTACATAAGTCGGGCATAGTGACGAAGAGTGCCCTGGAATTGTGAAGCCACAGCGCTGCGGACAATTTCAGTATGAACATGTATGCACCATTGAAACCTGCCAGGTGAGGTGGTTGGGTTCTTGTTCACCATTGACCCGCACTCGGCACGCAACAACCCACATACACGTACACGTGCTTTTCAGCTCAGGTGTCAAGACGCAAACGCCTTTGAATCACGACCTTTGGTCTGCAGATGTGGAAAACAAGGTCTCAGATATCATCAAGCCGCATCCCTTTTGAAGGGAGATGCTGGCAGGGACAAATAGCGCAAAACCCGCATAGACCTGCGTTGTTGTGCACAGATTTCCCTCAGGTCACAGGGGTAACTTGTCAGAAGTCATGCCCAAAAAAAGTCCGACATTTGGGCCTCCACGGCTCGAATGTAGTCTTGCTTCACCCACTCTCCATATTGCTTCTTCAAGCCCTCACGGGTTTTAATCAAGCTGGCTGCATCCTCTGCCTTCGTCGAGAGAAGTGTCTTGCTTGTGGCTTTGCTGTCCATCTGTTCTTGGAGGTTGCTTCTCATGTCCAATTTTTGGCCCTTCTGCAAAGTGCCGGCCCAGATATGAGGGCTCTGTCGGCCATCGGGACGCGCCCAGAGGAAGGTGCCTTTGACTTGGTCATGCAGAACCACTGCCTCCAAACGATCCAAATCTGGAAGTCGATACTCCACGGACAGGTTTTCCATGCGGTACCTGCAGCAAATTAACAACCATATAGTGAAAGGGTGCGCCTAAACACTTACTGGAACCAGTACCCCCAACCACATTGCGTTATCGTGGAATATCCACTCCCCATGTCTTTACCGGCCCAAAACTAGCTGGCTTTGACGCTGCGCACCTGCAATAAGGCTCGCAAAGCTCTTTGAGATCGTCTTGATACCTCGCACGCACCTTGTCAAACTTGCTCATGCTGCATTCACTACCAAGGTCCCTTTGCAGGTTCAGAGCCAACAGCCGAGCACAAATTGCGAGTTGAAGGCGGGAGAACAGCTCAAACTGAGTCTTGGTGAAGCCTTGTGGCTGGCTTTTGGCGTCAGTGAGTTGTTTCATCATATGTTGGATTGCATCTCTGAGCTTTTCTTCGCCTTTGTCAACCTTTTTCTTCTGGCCCTCTGGGTTTTTAGTGTCTTGGATCTGTTCCAAGATTTCCAAAGCAGCATCAAGCTCCGCTGCGAGCTTCTTTGCTTCATTCTCCTGGATGCATTTCTTCACTTCCGCCCCGACGTCCATCTTCTTTTCACTCTTCTTCAGCCATTTGGCGGTGCCATACAGAAGCCCTGCAAACAGAAGCGCTGGAGGGAAGGCCGCACCGGTCACAGCAGCGCCTGCTGCCATCATTTCCCCGGCACCCAATGCTTCCGCAAGGCCTGACTGACAAACCTCTGAGAAAACCTCGATCACAGCTTCAGGTTCAGCATCTTTCTCTGCTGGCAGCCACTCAACTGCCTGAAGCTGCTCGTTGATGCCATCCATCAAGGGTTTTGCAGCTTTTCCCTTCTTGGCCAAGCAGTACACGATGGTAAAGACGCTACCCTGCATGTCGCGATGCACTTCATCTTGCACTGCGCCAGAGTCCAACTTTCCGAAGGCCAAGTGGGCCAATTCCTCGCTAACCTGCGCAAGGTCCACGAGACAGCGAAGACTTGTTCCACTGCTTGGTTGATAATGACTGGTATGAATAGACATGCTTTCAATGCCTTGCAACCCTAACCCTGCGCAACAGCTATAAACCTGAACGAGCCCCTACTGTGACTGGTAGCTGCCCACCTGGACGTGTGCTGCGCTCGCTCCGGTTCCCATGACTTCGGGGCCAACTACAAAGTAGGCGAGGCAAAGCCTAGATCGCTGAATGCCGCTTGAGCCGTGTCTAATCTGCCAAAGGCATAGCCGACTCAACAAGCTTTCCAATGAAACCAGTGTGCAAGTGACAGGAGTATCATGGAGTATCCAGAACGAGAAACTCGGCATAGCAGCGCCCTGTTGAGAGCTGAGAACCATTGATCTAGCCAAGCCCTTAGGAAAACAAGACTTGAACCCAGCTGAACCCAGTTTGAGCTTCGTGCCAGATGAAGCTGCGAAGCCCTGACCAGATGGCAGATCACATGGATTCAAATGGTGGATCCCAGCTTTTGTGATGCCATTGGATCCAAGCAAATGTGAAGCTTCTTCCATTTTCTGCGGAAAAAGCGAGTAACTTGCCACACAACAGATTTGATCTTCCAACAAGGTCAAAAGCTGTAGATCTTGCCGCTATTGCGACACAGGCACAACCCCTGCTGCCCCGCATTTGGGTTGCCTGTTATCTTCGAAACAGGCATCATGACATGACATATTTTCAAGCGCTTCATTATGCAGACATGATTCAAGGGAGGCAAGATGCAATGTGCCTTGAATAGTGCCCAAAATTGAGTAGGTGAAGATCGCTGTTCCCATGATTACTTATAACCTCCCCAGCTATAAAGCAGCTCGGAAACGAACTGCCGTAAACCATCGCTGATGGACCTACCGATGTCACTGGCAACTGCTTAAGTGAGCATCGTTTTTCTGGTCTAAACCAACCATCTTGTGGAGGGGTTTCTGCCAAGGTCGTCTGCATGTATGGCATTGCATGGACCCGTAGCCTGTCCACCATTTCTCACCACCTACTTCCATTGAGATGAATTTACAAGAGCGATCCTGCCTCTTTCAGGGCCCGAAAATGACAAACTCGAAGCCACTGAATGCCACAAAAGGCTGACCTCAGCTTCCAATAGATTGGACCATCGAAACTTCTAGGGAAGGACCATCAAAACCTGAGCTTTTAGTGAGAGTGGACTCCAAAAATACTGTTAAAGGATTCCTTGCAAGAGGACTTCATACACTTTCATAACATGGTAGATGGGGCGGCTTTTCAAGATGACCCCTCTTCAAGGTGAACCTGCCAGGGAATCCAACAGAACTTTGTATCAGCCTACTTCAACATGGCTCTCTCTTATGTGGTATGTCTTTTCCCCGCCATACTGCAATACAGCGTCTAGTCTGAAAGAAGGAAGAAGTAAGACAGCAAGAGCCCAGCAGCCACACAGCCAATGCAGAAATGCGACCAGGAAGCGTGCCGCTGCCCAAAAAATCGCACTATAATGCAACAAAAGTGCTCGCTAAAACTTCCGCGTGGAAATGCAATTAGGGAGGGCGGCCCAAAGGGGAGGGAGAAGGGGTAGGAAGGGAAAGTAAGGGGGGTGACCCTTCGGGTCAAACACAGAAATGCGACTAGAGGCCAAGTTTTTTCGGGTCGGCCAAGTGAGTGGCATTATTGAACCTGCCCAAATCTTGGGGGCTCAGGCCCTCCAGCCGGCTTTCAGAAAAGCAAAGAAAGGGGGAAGGAAAAAAAGGAAAAAGGGAAGGGGAAGGGGAAGGGGAAGGGTTGGGCCACCCTCCCAAGATTGCATTTTCGCGCGGATTTTGACGGATCGCTCTCACTTTTGTTGCATTATAGTGCGATTTTTTGGGCAGCGGCACGCTTCCTGGTCGCATTTCTGCATTGGCTGTGTGGCTGCTGGGCTCTTGCTGTCTTAGTTCTTCCTTCTTTCAGACTAGACGCTGTATTGCAGTATGGCGGGGAAAAGACATACCACATAAGAGAGAGGTAGACCGCCTCAAACAGCTCTTCCAGCCGCTTTGCCGTTCCGGACTCCTCCAATTTCCGGAGCTCCTGATTTTTTTTGAAAGCTTGCTACCCATGCTACCTGGGTTTTTGGTTTTATTTCCAACTGTTACGGTAGGCACACCACACAAAACAAGACATGCGAACAGTCCAAGACTTCAGCAGGCACAAGATACGCGCACCCTCTTTTGTTGCCGAGTGGGGTATGTCACGAAAGTCATCATGCACAAACGGGTGCACACACCCTGCAAAGACGGCAATCCGTCATCGCACACATACCCCCCCCCCCCAGTGTATTACCGGGCGGGCGGGCGGGCAAAAATTTAAACACACCAACTGCACACAGCCGAAACTTTGCGCGGAGATGATGATTCAATCGCAAAGTTCAGAAGAACATCAGGCTGTTCCTAGTTAAAAATGCTTATCTCATGCATGTTTTCACTACTTGCAAACATATAAACAATCCACAAATATCAAATGAGACATAAGGAAAAGTTTGTCAGGCAGTTTGCATTCCAGTATTTGTTTCAAACATATTATACAAATTTGCCTATTGGCAAGAAGCGAAATATTTCAAGGATATGAAATGGCAAGACGACGCGCACTCACTCGGACAGCACACTCCGTTCTTTTTTTCAGTCGGGGGTAAACGCACCCGAGGTGAGAGGTACAACACGACAGCCGGCACACGCAACCGGCGAACCGCATCGTCCCCCGTAAAAGTGAGCCGCTTTCCATCACATCATTGGCAAAGTTCTGCCATCAAGTCTGCTTCGCATCTCACCGCTTTGGCAATGGCATCAGCCAAGCGGGGATCGTAAGTCTTTGAAACAAGCATTGAAAGAACATGTTCGGATACAGCCACATCGCCCTTGTCCAAGACCTTGAAGCGCATCATGGCCTCCTCAAGAGCACCTCGCGATGGCAAGTCCGACGGATTGGACTTCGAGGGTACTCTTTCGTACCACAACGAAGTCTCAAGTATGGCCTCAAGCAAAGTCACCAAGCATATTATGCTCGACATGCACAGCGAAGGAGACGTACGCCGAATGAAGCCATATCGGGCAGCATCGTTGTCGATGTACGCGGTGATGCAACGACCTCGCAGCACACCTCTCAAGCCGTATAGAACAAGCGCAACCGCGAAGGCTTCCACTTCACAGATTATCTGTTCCCCAGCATGCCGTCTCCAATGGTTGCACAAAGCACTGCCCACTGCACCATGAAACATCCAGCGAACTCCGCTAAGCGGGTCTAGGAGGATAGCCCCCCAGGTTGCCGCTCCTGCCTCATATGCACCATCGGTGTAAAGGATCATCGGCGGCGTCACGCGGGCCACCAAAGTCCTCGGCCTAGCCGCTTTCAAGACATCCAGCGCAAGCAATGCAGCGGCACGAAGCTCATCACCAAAAGTGCGGCCCCTGGCAAGGGCCTTCGAGAACATCCGAACAGCAGGTTTGAGTTGGAAACCCAGCACGTTGCCGCCCGCAAAGTTCAACAAACCATGTAGGCTAGCCAGCTGCGACCTTGTGGCCGGTTTGCCCTCCGCTAGGGGGGCCAGCATCGAGCAAATCTTGTCAACACGCCCCGGCTTGTTGGAAACGGTAATCCGGCCCTTCCAAATGTCTTCAAGGTTCAGAACAACGCCCAGTGTCACGACCTGCGGTCCAAACGGGACGAACTTCTTGCCATCCTCGGCGAAGATCCAGCCAAGAATCTTGAGCAGTCTGCAAAGCACCTTATCCAACAAAGAGGCAGCTGGCTTGAACTCGAAGACGGTGTAATCATCATAGAAGTCCGTGGCAATGGCGTGGAACTTGACTACCATGATGCGCAGCAGCGCCAGGGCCAACTTGTTGAAGGCATAGACGCTTGCAGTAGCACCAAAAGGAAGACTTCGGGAGACCGCAAAGGTCCAACCATCTTTCTTGTCCGGGTAGCCAAGTACCGCATGCCTCCACGATGATGGCTTGACTGCGACCTGTTTGTATGCTTTCTTCAAGTCGATCGTTTTAGCAAGCAAAGGAGGTGAATGCAGCATCTCGGATGACCAGGACCCACGCAACACCTGCCCATCAGACAGAGGCACTACGACCTCTGTCTTGTTTAGCAAAACGCGTGACAGGAAGCGCAAGAGTCCCACGGTGAAGTCAGTATCCTGCAGCACCAAATGCGAGTGGGACTCAAAGCTCTGGTTGACGGATGAAGCACTGAAGTCATCGATGACGCGAACTTTGCCATCCTCGCCCTGGCTCAAGAGGAAACGAGGCGACAGGGACCAGCATTGGCAGCCCAAGAAATCACTGACCTCCTCAACCGAAGTGAAAGGCCCCAGCAGGAAACCGGCCTCAATCTCCTGAGTGGTTTCATCAATCAAGGCAGCAGAATCGGCCGGATCTGAAGGAGGGCGTCGACGCATGGTTTCTTCACGCCTTATCTGAGCTTGGGCATCCAGCTGATCCGGGTGAATCTGCATAGGTCGACGACGCTCAGGGAACAGCCGACACTCGGGCTCAACACCCCCAAGCTCTACACCCGAAACCAAGGAGTCAACAACAGAGAGATCCCCAAACCCCGTCTCTTCTAGGAGCTCACGGAAAAGACAAATGGCCTTCCCTCTGCTGACCTCTTCCACATCAGGATGCATACCCTGACGCAACACAGCCTCCTTGGCCTCGAGCTCCTTGAGACGAGCGTTCAGTTGGTTCAATGCCTGCAGGCGTCGCTTTGACACTGCGAGAGGCCCCTCAGTGCAGAGCGTAAAGATGTTCCGGCGTACAGCATCGGGAACCTGGTGAGCCGACTCTGAAGGAGACTCCAAACCAGAGGCCAGTTGTATATGCTGCTCCATGGTATGATAGACACCCACAATGTCCGAAGAGCCCCCAGCAAGCCTCTTTGCAACCTGACGTCCGTAAGTGTCGGAGCAAGAAGAACTACCCTGATCGCCAGGCATGCCAGAGCTTGAAGAACTACCCTGATCACCGCGCATGCCAGAGCTCGAAGAACTATCCTCATCGCCCCGCTCTGCCTGATCTCCAAGCGCCGAAGGACATCCAACGGTTTCCCCCACAGGGTCAGAGCTCTCCGAGAATGAACCCCCGAAGGAAGAGAGCTTATAAGCACTTTGTAATCACGATGAGGCGGCACCTGGGAAAGGGGAGCCTGGTACTCAAACTCCGGGATCAAAGCAGCAGCGTATCTAGATTGGTGCCCAGCGGGGGCACGTACTTGCGCGCGGAGCTCACGAGCGCGCCACTGCTGAGCCTTGGCATTCGGGCAGGCACCGGCGGCAGCTACCAAAAAGTCGCACAGCTGCTGAGGGTAAGCCGCCTCATCCTTAGTTTTGAACTGCCAGCCCTGACCCAGCCGGACAGGGGCCCAGCTCAAATGCTGGTGTTTGCCGTCACAAGCACGCGCAAGACCTTGAAAAGCCGGAGTTGTGCCCTTGATGCGAGTGGCCTTGGCACGACCTGATCCAAACATGCACGTGTCAAAATCAAAATCCTGCAAGTCGAAGTACCATTTGCGGAAAGAGGCAGGCCCACGCTTCTTGACGAGAGCAGCCAGCAACGGCCACAACCAGCTCCGCACGGGGTTTTCAATGGTGACAAGAGCCCCACGGCTGAATGCAAGAAAAAGAACCTCAACAGCCTGCACATAGACCTGGTTTGCTGCAGCGACTTGCTCCTGCTCAGCTGGGCGGAGACCGGGCTTACCAAAGAGATTATCTGCATCCCGAAGAGGCCGAGGCGCATTTGGCAAAGGCTTCTCCCGGGCCCTTGAGCAAGTGCCACAGGGGAGACCAAAATGGTACCACGCAACATTAGCCTGACTGGCGAATGAGGCCAGCAACACTGAACTCGAAGATTGGCGCATGTCCAAAATGAACAAAGGCGTATGGGCGTGAAAGCGGCAGGAAGGCTGATCGATGGGCAGTGCATTCCACCCAGCGCTCAAAGCGGTTGCAGACAAGACAGCCGAGCCGGCGCACACCTCAACAAGCCACGGAACCTGAACAGGAGGCAACGCGGCGGCACTAGGGCCATCCGAAGAAGGCCGACAGAAGAGCTCTCTCGGCTCCTGAATGTGCTGGCTCTCAAGGGCCTGTACGGTTGGCAGGGGAAAGCCCAAGGAGCGCAAAATGCGGCGATCGGCCGACCCCAAATGCACAGCCCCAAGAAGACAGAAGAGAACAAGCACGACCCTCCTACCCTTAGCCTCAGAAGTGGAGTGCTGGTGTGCGCGGGCACAGAAAGACACAGGTCCTTGGCACACTCGGAGGCGCACCTGGCTCTCAGCCTGGACCAAGATGTCACCCCCAGCAAAGGAGCTGAGAGGGACAACCACGTTCGGCAAGAAAGCATTCTGCGTGTCAACATGCTCCTTGGTACAAACACGGTCCAAGATGACAAAGCTTGTGTAATGAAGTGATGGGACAGCCTTGGAAGCAAAAAGATTGATCAGCTTGAGTGTCTTCGGAAAAAGGTGGCAGGCCTTCCTCAGACCAACCTTAATTCGGCAATAGACACCGCCGGAAAATGAAACCCCGTTGGCGTCTCGGTCACTAGTGTCCTTTGGCAAAAGATCAAAGAGCTCAAGAATCTTGGACTCGGAAAAATCATGATTGTCCAGGCAAGCTTGAGCAAAGTCCTCAGGGGAAGAGGCCGCAGCCGACAAGACCACCGCCTCAGTTGGCTCACTGGGAGCCGATGCTTGCTGGCTGGATTGACTGGCAGTCGCGAGGGAGGCCAGCGACTCACCCGCTCCATCCTGTCAATGCGAACACTCGATGAAAGGCCGCGACTCCTTGCAGCCCTTGTAATAACACACATGTTTGCCGAAACGACAGCTTTTGCGCTTCTGAAACCTGCAAATGCCCTTGTTGTAGAACGGGCAAATGAATCGTCCTTCAGCATTCTTGGCCTCACAGTTCGGAGGAAGGCTTGCCAGCAGCTCCTTCAAGGAGACGTTGGCATCCGAGTCGCCCTCGGTCTGCTTCCCCTTTCCATTCTTTCCCTTGCCGTTCTTCTTGGGATTTCCCTTGCCCGGGCCCTTGCCTGGCCTGTCCGTTGAAGCAGAGCTAGAAGCAGGCTGGCTGGCAGGCACCGGCAAAGGCGTCATGCAGGCAATGACGAGTGGATCCAAACTCCGCTTCTTAAGAAGAGAATCCAAAGGGGGATCAAGGCCTGTCCCAACCGCGATGTTTCCTCGGGACTCCTGAGACATGATCTGCCACAGCTTGGCATCTGCGGAAAGGACCTGCTGAACAGTCACATACCTGTATCCGGAAGGCGGAGATTTTATTTCCTGCGCACCGCCAAAACA